ACGACACTGAGGGTTGCGATCCGTTGCCGGTCACGAAAAAAGACAAAAAGAAAAAAAAAAAAAATCTTCAGGGCTGGCCAGTTAGCTCAGTTGGTGAGAGCACAGTGTTATAACATCATGGTCAAGCGTTTGGATCGCCATACTGGCCAGCTGCCAAAAATATATATATATATATCTTCAAGTGACCAGAATTTTTTTATCTTTCCTTTATAAAATGCTAAAAGCTAGGAGAGGTTTTAGGAAGAAAGCATAAGACATCCCTCCATATGCCAAGATCTCCATTCTGCCTGTGAAATGCAGGAGCGTTTGTGGAGCAGGTACTAGAAAAAGCCACCGGGCACAGGCAGGCTTCCCGCTCCCAGCTCAGCCACTGGCCACCTGGGGCTAGCTGGGGTCAGAATAGTGAAATAGAATAGTCACCATTTATGTAGCCCTCATGTCAGTCCTACAGAAGAAGGTAGTTACTTACAGCTGCAGGAAGTGGGGTGCCCAGTGTTACCTGATTTACTTAGAGCCATAGGGTTGGTAAGGAGCAGAGACAGAGTTGGAATCCGGGCCGTTTGGTACTCTCCTTTGGAAACCTTGCTTTCTCAAGTCACTTAATCTCCCCAAGCCTTCATCTTCTTACCTGTGAAATGAAGGATCTGAACAGTGTTTGTGTGGGAATCCCATATTGCTGAGGTTCTAGAAATATCCCTCTAAATCTAATTTTAGATAAATTTCTCAGCTTGAGGATTTTTTCCCTCCAGGTTAGTAGTGTATGCATTCTAATTCCAAATCCACCCGAGTGGATTTGATTTCTTACGTTAGACTTCCAACACTCCTCACACGTGCGTGCCAGGAACCTCCAGCAGAGGCACACGCCCTTTCCCTCCTCTCCCTGGGTCTGTGGTTGGAGCTTTTCCTTCCCCCTCCAGGGCCCTAATTTATACAGGAGAGTCAGTTCCAGCTCTCTGACACTTAGATGAGACTATCCTTGAGTGGGCTTGAAACCTAACTCTGGGGCACCCCTCCACTCTCTCCACTCTGGCTTTTTTGAGTTCTGGCATCTATGGATTTCTGTTTCTTGTGAGCTCAGCTAGGTATTTAAATGTGTTTTTGTTAAATTTTTCTTTAGTATTTCCATGTTTATATGGGGAAAGGGTCCCACTTTGCTGCAGTTGAGCTTCTTGTTGGAAGGAAACTGTGGCAGGACGGCCCACCTTGTGGCAAGGACCGCTGGCATGAGAAGCACGTATGGTGCTGTTCACATGTTTGTCCCAGGACCCTGAGGCAGTTGCTATCTCGAGCTCAGAGCCGTGGTCCAGCATTGCAACAGGCTCCAGCAGTTCTGGTACACTCTCGCTGGCAACAGGCGGCAACTCCAGCATTCCCCAGGCTCTAGGTCTACACCCAGCCCACATCCATGGTCAGCACAATGCAAATATGAAAAAAATAAACGTATCCACTATTAATTTCTTGTAAACACTAAATTCTAATTATTGATGGGTGACTTTTCTTATTTAGGCCTGCATTATTTAAATTATTTGAAAGCTGCAGTATTCTCTAGAAAGAAAAAAAAGGTTATTTGAAAGCTGCAGTATTCTGTAGAAAGTAAACGTCAGACTTTGCTGTATTCATTCATATGTTTTCATAAATACTTGATTGACTATGAGGCCACTTTAAAGTTTTATATTCCAGATATGAACATAGGGAAAGATATAAAATTAGAGTGGAATTTCACCATTAAGTGTTAGGATACATTTTTAAAAGCGTATTTCTGGCATGCTGAAGAAATAATTAAGTTGGTTTTTTTTTTTTTGTCTTTTTCCGTGTCCGGCAACGGATCGCAACCCTCAGTGTTGCCCCCGTACCGGACCGGGGACCGGCAACGGGATTGCAACCCTCGGCGTCGCTCCCGCGCCTCGCCCAGCCAGTGAGCGGGAACCGGTCTGTATGTGGGATCCGAACCCTTGGTGGGAGCGCCGCCGCTCCTCCCAAGCGGCACACTATCCAGTGCGCCACCGGGCCGGCCCCAGAAATAATTAAGTTTTTAAAAAATAAACTTTCAAGTAGCCTGTAGCTAATCATACTGCTTTGGGATCTCGATGCTTAAGAAGCAAGTGGTAGTGGTTGTTAGATTGTCTGTTTCCTTGGCTTTTGTTCCTGTCTGTATACTCTGTTTGCCTTGATCAAAAACCAGTGAAACCCTCTGGTACATTTCACATATTTGATCTTGTACCTGCCATCCTACAAACCTAGCATTAAACAGTGAAATTGGGCTATGTGAAATAATCGTCTAGTTGCTCCCGTAGCATTCTCCACGTTTCAGTATTGCTATTTACAAAATTCTATTATAGCTCTTCCCTCAAGCAGTTTATGGTCTAGTAAGAGAGGTATTGTTCAACTTTGAAATCCTTAGAGAAGAATTTTATTCTTCTTCTTTGTAGCTGCTGCACCTTTGATAACAATTGTGTGGCACATGGTAGTGACTCACCAAATGTTTGCTAAATGAATGAATGAGATTGTATTTAAATTAATGCTCAGTATCTTCTGCCAGACACCAAGGAGCAGGTTCATCTATTGAAAACCATATTTTACACTAAAAACAAGGAAAACAAACCAACAGTCCTGGGTTCTGGTCCTGGACCTGCCACTATCAGTTCACCTTGAGTGACCTTGTGGAGTCTTATTCCTCTCATTGTCAAATATGAAAATAGATTAATGAGCTGCAAATTGATTCTAGTTCTCAAATGGTAAAATCTTTTTTGAATTGATATCCCTTCCTTGCTCATCATATTCTCCCACCAGACCCAGAGAAGGGAGGCCTCAGGTGGTCCCAGATTCCTGTTTTCTCTAGTAAGTCTCATGGAAAGGAAGTCTGAATGCATCCGGATGTGGTTTTGTGTGTCTCTTCCAGGCCCTCTGAGCAGAGTGAACTGAAGCTCGTGTGCAATAACTTTGAGAGGGCTGAGCTGAGCAGCGACGTTGATGTGAGAAACTGGTGTATACAGGAAAACACTGGGAAGATTTGTAAAGCAGATGCTGAAATTTCAAGCGGCTTATCTGCTGCACAGAGAGAGGCAGGTATGGAATGATACTAAGCTCCGAACGCTGCCTCAGTTGGAATTTTTGTTTCCTCAAGGAAGAATCCAGTGTGAGAGAAATAGCGTTTCGATGACATTATCACTTTACAGGCACCTTAGCTAACTAAAGCCTGAACGGAAAGTTGTCAGGGGAGACCAGGAAGCTAAGGTTCTTTTGAGCCTGGGCAGGCCTCTAGTGTTGCTCCCCTCTCCCCTAAAACCTGGCCGTTCCCAAGTACCCTCATGCATACTGCCGAAGCAACAATGGCTGTTTGCTCTAGCCAGTACACCCTTGGTGGAAGGGCGGAGTGGCTAAGTAGACAGTGCCAGCCCCGCACCTGAGCCAGGAGGGTTCTGAGGAGCCAGGCTGCTGGCCCACCCAAGGACTGCTGGGCACTGTGTGTGTGGGGGGGCGGGGGGAGGATTACAGACCCCCACCCACCACCCACCCCCATGCCCCGCATTGGTGCGCACAGGCTGACAGAGTTAACCGGTTTCTATCTCCATCCTCTCTTTCCCTTGACATATTTGTGTTGCTTTTTGGTCTTACTAGAGGTTCTCACCCATACATCAATAAGTTGAAACTCTTAGTGGGCATCTTAGTAAAAGAGAGAAGGTGAGTTACCTGCAAATCTCCACTACAATAGAGTAGCCTTCTTGATAGAAGTGTTTGTTGTTTCTAAACCATTTCTAGATCAAGGTTATAGTTAGTATTGGCTAGTATAGTTAGTATTAGCTCCAAACAAGTTTAATTGCCCATCCCATAGGAAGAGGAGACATAGCCCATCCCCCACTATTTCTTCAAGTCCCATCATTAGTTTCAACAAACTTCTTTCCTTTTGCCACAGGAGCAGAGGTAGCCAGCCCTGAAGCTGAGCCTTACCTGTTTCCTAATCTCACCTCTCTCCTTTGGTAACAACGGCATCAAGTTGAACATTGTCAGTGAGACATGACTTCCCCCTTCCTTCCTCCAGACGGTTGCTGCCAGAAGCCTGAGAAGAAGTGTGTGGACAAGGTTTGCTCCGATTCCAGCTCTGACTGCGGAAGCTCGTCAGGCAGCGTGCGTGCCAGCCGGGGCAGCTGGGGGAGCTGGAGCAGCACCAGCAGCTCTGACGGGGACAAGAGGCCTGTGACGGGCCCTCAGCTCTTCCTGGTGGCTGGTGAGTCCTGGGGGCAGATCCAGCCACTCCAGAGTGGCACTGCGTTCTGTCCTCCCAAGTACCTAGTACAGTGTCTGGGTCTGCTTCCCGCACCCAGCGAGCAGATGGGGCTGTGGGTCTGAGTCTTTGCTTTGGACTTTATTCACTTTCTTTTTCTTTTCTCCCTCCCTCTTTCTTTCCCTCCATTATTATTATTATTATAATCAGTCCTCTGTATCCACGGGTTCTCCATCCATGGATTCAACCAGCTACAGACAGAAAATATTTAGGAAAAAAATGATTAAAAAAATATAATAATTAAAAAATACAATATAATAACTTTTTACATAGCATTTATACTGTATTAGGTATTATAAGTAATCTAGAGATGATTTCAAGTATACGGGAGGATGTGCATAGGTCATGTGCAAATACTACGCCATTTTATACCAGGGTCTTGAGCATCTGAAGATTTTGGTACCCTGGAAGCAACCCCCCATGTACTGAGAAATGACTGTATTATTATCATTTAGTGTCTGTCTTTGAAACGGTTTAAAGAGCTGTTTTATTTTTTCATCTGTACGTTCTTTTTTATTGTGTTTGTCACCACGAAGTCTCCTTGGCGGTAGCTCAGGCTTGAACCCGTGTCTTCTCCGTCATCTCCCAGCTTCCTGAGAGTTTCCTCCAGCAGCTACTCTTTCTCTCTGCAATCAGCAGCGAGACCTGTGAAAGAAGGTCTTGTCTGAGAGACCTGTGCAGTAGCAGCCGTGGAAACCTGGAGGAAGTGCTCACGCGTGACTCTAGTCAGTGCCTCTCAAAGGCAGTTCCATTATTCCCTCCCCTCCCTCAGCCTTTTAAGACGTTATTTTCCTAATGGCCCCCATAAAGTTTTATTACCACTGGTATATACTGTATATCAGGTTATTACTGTGTACTGTACTTTATGCATAAAAAGATAAGATTTACTCAGCTCCTAAAAAACAAACCAGTCCCCCCTCCTTGGGGATAGTATTGCCTCCCTGGAAAATGAATGGACTTAGCTGAAGGGCTTGCAGTGCTTTGACACCAGGCGTGGTTTGCACAGCTCCTGTCTACCTCTGAAGACAGGTTTGCCGGATGGTGCTAATGTGAGATTTTTAAAAATCAGTTCTTAACATTAACAGAAACTGGAAGTGCAGCTTTTGCTTGGGAGAAAGGCCAACAGCAGAACAACAAAAATTATTGCCGGTATTGCTGTACAGTGGCATAGTGTGCAGTCTTTCAGTTTTGTTTGAAGGTTATGTAAGAGCAGGAAAATGTCCCCAGTATAATAAATGGCTAAAAATAATGTGAAGTATGATATATCTAAAAGGCCGTATTAGTCCATTTTTGTTGCTTATGACAAAGTACACTGAACTGGGTGATTTATAATGAAAATGAAATTTATTGCTTACAGTTTCTTAGGCTAAGTCCAAAATCCATCTGGTGGTGGTGGGACAGTGACCAGGGGTCTCACATTGCAAGATGGTGGTCTCACATTGCAAGAGAGAGAGAGGGGGAGGGAGAGAGGGAGAAAGGGAGAAACACAGACTCTCCTCTTTTTTTTTTTTTAAAGCCCTCAGAACCACACCCCTGACCACCATTTTTAATCCATTCACTACTACATGGCCCTACAATCGAATCATCTCTTCAGGGCCCCACCTTCAATTACCGTAATAGGATTTCCCACCCTCTTAACAGTTACAGTGGGGGCTAAGTTTCTAATACATGAAACTTGGGGGACACAATTCAGGCTTCAGTGAGTTTTGAGGGGGACGTAATTCAATCCACTATGAAGGCCGAAAATAATACGAAGTATATATTAAGTATGATCTCAATTTTATACATATGCATACACATAAAAGAGATTATTAGGAAATATACCTAAATACCATAACTGCTGGTGATTTATATTTTTTTCTTTAAACTTTAGTTTCTTTTTATTGATTTCCTACAATGGATGTATATTACTTTATAAACTGAGGAAGGAAGTGCTATAATTATATAGCTAAATTTCTTTATCAGGAAAAAAACCCTATTAAAAAGTTACATGACATTGATGGTTTCAGCTCTTCTCTATATTATTAATCTAAAATTCTTAAATTTAAACTTTGAGTTTTATTAACTTTTCAATGAAAAGATAAGCCTTTTAAAAATTAAATTACTGAATGTATGAATATCAATTTAAAGTGAAAAGTAAATTACTCATTAGGAGTTAATGATATTAACAATCTGCGTTTTAATACAGAATATTTACAGTTGAATTATACTTTTAAAAATTTGTGATAATGTATTGTTTGTTTTAATGCAGGAGACAGTGTTTCACAGAATGTTTTTCCTTCTGAAACTCCCATCTCCTTGAATCTTTCTCATAACATCTGCAATCCCATGTAAGTTTTTAATTTTCCAGCTCTTCTTAGGTTTTATGTACTGCTTTTTCTGTCAGTCAGTGTGTTTCTTCTCTGTACTTGGTTCGGCAAATTAAAGTATGAAAACCTTTTAAGGATGCAGGAAAGTAAAATCTGATTTTCTTAATAATTAAGAAAGAGCAATCCTTCCAAGTAAACACAGTTCGTGTGGGAGTGTCTCTGGTATCTCTGGTCTGGTATTTTTCTGAAAGAGAAAGCAGTAGTTGTTATAAAGATGGGAATCATCTACCCTTTTCCATGACTGTAAATAAAACTGAGCATTGATGATCTGGATAATTTTTCAAGAACCTCGTAGCAGGCACTTCACTTACACATATACAGCTCCGCCGTCTGATGGTTTCTGCAGCCTCGGACAGAATAAACCAATGCCTTTTATTGAGTGCAAGGAGGGTAAGCAGGAGAGGGTTTCGGAGCGAGGATGTAATTAGGTTTCTTTGGTGCCTGCTTCCTTATGCGAAGACAGGAGGGTGTGATGAAATGGCAAATTTGCGAAGAAGGAAACTCATCTAGAGGACAAGGAAAGCTCCCTTCCTCCTTCCTCCCCCCTCCCCCAGCTCACTCTGTCCTAGAAGCCCGTGAATTCGCCCTTAGCAGCCTTGCTGACTGGTCTTGCCCCTGCATGGGCACCAGGGCTGAGCTCCCTCAGACCTTCTGCAGGTCGGGGAGGGTGGTGGCCTGGGAGCGTGGAAATAGGAGGGGGTCAGAGGAAACCCCACTCCTGGCTGGGGTCTATGACGGAAGGTTAACTCCAGTCTTCCTTCGTTTTTATTCTCCTTTTTGCCTCTTCTTCTGCCTCTCTTTGTCTTTTGTCTCCTGTCTCCTGTTTTATTCTAGGGCTTCTTTCCTGCCTAATTGGGGTCAGGAATTATGGCAGGATGAGCCTGATCCCTGCCCCCCAGCTTTAATACACGTACTTGCTTTTGCTTGTATAAATTAATGCTGGATTTAAAAGCTGCTCTACACATTGGAGAATTTTTACTTTGAAAGCATAGGGCTCTTTGCTGTTTCTTGGATAAACTTTGGACTTGTCAGATTATCAACAGAAATAAATTATTTGCAAATTGGATCTAACAACCAATAAAATATGTGTTAATTTTAAAAAATGTTAAATTCAGGGGCCGGCCCGGTGGCGCACTGCTACAGTGCGCTGCTTGGGAAGTGCGGCGGCGCTCCCGCCGAGGGTTCGGATCCCACATACAGACCGGTTCCCTCTCACTGGCTGAGCGAGGTGCGGGTGTGACACCGAGGGTTGCGATCCCGTTGCCGGTCCCAGTCTGGTGCGGGGGCAACACTGAGGGTTGCGATCCGTTGCCAGACACAGAAAAAGACAAAAAAAAAAAAAATGTTAAATTCAGTAAACCATAATTTGGTAAGGCAAGATTTCAGGGAGGCTTAGATGGTACTACCTTTTCTGCAAGTAATAGAGAAAAGGTAGGACTTAATTAGTGGTGGAGAAAAATTAAAAACTCAAAACAGGTACTCTTTAGCATGTTATTCTGTTTTCGTTGTCAGTTGGAGATTCATATGTAATCTAGTGTCCTGATCCATGTCTGTGTGTGTTTCTAGTGCTTTTGGCCTTGTCCTCACTAATAATCTACAATTACTTTTTGGTCACCTATTACAATCCTTAATTAGGTCCTAAAGTCTCTACAAAACCAGCTCTTGTCTGCAGTCTGTGTCTACAAAGCCTGGGTCCTGCCACCCTCTGCTGGCCCTCCCTCCCTCCTGCCTGGCTCAAGTGCTCTGATCCTTGTGATAACCATTTCCTTGACTTCTCTCCGTTTGCTGTATTAACCTTGCACATCCAGTCATGGCTTTTCCCACCTCTCCACTGCTGCACCTGTCCCTGTGCAGGTGAGCAAAGCTGGAGGACATGGTGCCACATGCTGACCAGCCTCTGTGCATTCCTGACACTTGACTTCACGTGGGCCGGCTGCTGCATCTACTGCCCCTTCCCTGGTCCCTTCATCTTCCACACTCCTCCCATATCCCCACGCTTCCAGTGCCTTCTGCTGCATTCTCTTAGTTGCTCTTGCTTCCTGTTTTACTGGAAAAGAGAGAAGCACCTAGACACCTTCGTAAAGCTCCCACTGCCCCATTCATCCCCCTACCACATCACAGCATCCTCTGCTTCCCTCCTGTTGCATCCTGTGGAATTGTCCGTGCACTCCTTCTCTCCAAGGGTGTTGCTTCAGATTTCCCCGACCCTCTTCCATCAGTTTTCCTGTAAGGGTCATTCCCATCAGCCCAAGTAGACTGCAGTACCTCCCATCTGTAAAAACCCAATAGCCGAACCCTGTCTCTTGACTCACTTCTCTAGCTGCTGCTCTGTTTCTCTGCTCCTGCCTTAGGGATGCCTTAGAGGAATTATCTGTGCTTGATCATTCAAATTTCTTTCCTCCTATTCTCCCTGGAAACCCCTATAATCTGGCTTTTGCTGCCATTACTCCAGTGAACAGCACTGTCAGGGTCGCTGGTGATTTCCACATTGTTAAGTCCTTGGTCCGTTTTGTCTTTGGTCTCCATGTGGAGCTGTTGCAGGCATTAGATGTTCTGTTCCAGCTGGTAAACCTTAGGTTCCCAGTTCAGCTCCTCCCCATCGCCCCACCTCTCATGACCCGGGAGCCCTCCAGAGCACAGTCCTTGGTGCTCTTCTGTCTTGGCACACTCCCTGGGTGATCTCATCCACTTTCAAAACTTGAAGTCTCACCTACGACCCAGCAACTCCCAAATTTATATCTTTAGCCTGGGCCTCTCTCCTGAACTCTGGTAACTGCCAGTTTGACATCTTTACTTGGGGATCCAACAGGTACCCCAAATTGTATACTTGATCATCTCTTCAGATCTATTCCTCTTACATTCAGTCTTTCTGATGGCTCAGGCCCAGAATCTCAATGTCATCTTTGACATTTTCTTTCTTGTGCCCCACATCTGATCCATTGTCTTTTTCTGTTAGCCTTCTGCCTTCCAAATATATCTGTATCTGGTCACTTCTCAACCCCTGCACCTTAATTACCCTGGCCCAGACCATCCTTCTTTCTTACTTGGGTTATCACAATAACCTCCTAACAGGCCTCCCTGCCTCTGCCCTCACCCCACCTTGCCATCTGTTTTTAACACAGCAGCCAGAGTGGTCGTGTTAAACATAACTCAGATCATGTCACTTTCAAGAACTGGGAAGCCTCTGAGATCTTTACCCTGCTTACAAGCTAAGGAGTTAGCCTGCCACAGTTTCGTAGAAACTGGCAGAAGACAGGAGTCTCTTGGGCCAGAGATAAAGGACTTCTAGTACAGCAAGCAGCATGAGCAACAGCCCGTTATGTCAGCTCCCCTTGCCCCCATGGGAGATGAGAAAGGAGCCCTGAGCTTAGGAATCCAAAGGGCTCCAGAGGGAGACACTACCTCTGTCTTCTGAGGCTTTGCCTAGCAAACATCCTTGGGAAAGTAGGGCAGAGTAAAGGCAGCCAGTGCTTCTGTTTGCATGAAGTTCAGAAATGTGAGAGGCCAGTAGAGAGTTGTAGACACACTTCTTGTTTCTACAGAGCTTCTGGTATATATGTTTCCATATGGCTTCTGGTAGCCTTTGTTATGAGTACACCATTCCAGGAGCAATTCTTGATTAATCTGACCAGCAGAAGGTGGGACCAAATCTGTCTGATTTGTCTCATACAAAAACAGCTACTATCAACAGGGCTCTAAGCAGTAGGATGAGGCCACCCTGTGGTATTGACCACATCCATGCCCCATAGAGCCAGTTCCAGACCCAACCAGCCACCAGAACCTGCTTTAGAAAGCCATGTGTCTTTTTCTTTAAGCTTCTATACTGATCTTTCCACTTGGCCAGAGGCAATTGCAGGTACAGCAGGGTGCTTAGTGATTTCATAGATTCTACCTTGGCCTGCAAGGAGAAAGTCTAGGGCAGTTCTGTCATCCGTGACAACCCTGGCCAGGGAGTTGAGGATGACCTGAGTTTCTTTCAGGGCCCAGGTGGTGTGTTTGATCACTTCAGCTAGTTTCAGCAGACAGTTTTCATACCACATTTTCTTTCTTTTTTTTTTTTTTTTTTTCCTTTTTGTCTTTTTTTTCGTGACCGGTAACGGGATTGCAACCCTCGGTGTCGCGCCCGCACCGCGCTCA